CGACCTAAATGAGATGTTGGGGACAAGGTTGTTTGGGGCGCACCAGCTGTAAACATTAGAGAGCTGGTCTTGAAGCGTCAAAGAATCTTGATACGAATAAATGAATCCATACAGTTTTAAATCGTCTGCAAATAGTACAAAGTTGCACTTAATTTCCTCAGACGTTGATAAAGATCTAAAACAGTAATGGTCTAAGGTTTACAATCCTGACGCCTCTCGGATACTGACCTCCCTGATACCTTACTCAGAACAATCTATAATGAAGGCTAGGCAAATTTATGGATTAAAACCCAGCACATTTTATTTAAATCGCGATGGGGTAACTTCCAAAATTCTGGAACAATACAGCTTTTTAGAATCTGGTTGAATATTGCTACTAAACTAAACTACCCAAACATAACCCTGTCACATCCAGTCGTAAGTTTATTGGACATACCTCGCAAGACACTCAATAACTCTTTCCCCGGAAAGCTACCAACATAGCGGGTTGTAATATCATCTTTTGGGGCGATATGCACTACTAAAACAATTTACAAAAGAAGCAACAATAGCCTGAATGGTCTCAACAGTTTCATTATTAAATTCAAGTGAGCAAATCTTAGCATCAGTAACAATAGAAGTCTCGATGAAATAAGAAGACTTCCATTATCTTTATTATTCAGTTTCTCAACTGTTCAACTGGTCAAGTATTCCTTTTCCTAAGTATTTAAATCAAAGTTGATTTTTTTCCACAAGGGTTTTCAAACGTTCTTGATACCTAAATGGCCCTGGCTAAAACTAAATGCGATGAATTCAGCGTTGTTCCCTGACGCTGATTTTAGCTTCTTGATCGGTCCTTACATCCAAGAGATACCATTGAAATAAGAGATTTTGAGGTGAGGTGTTTTCTACAGTGCGTGGGTTTCCGGAAGACCAAGCATGCCCTCTACAGATATTCAGAAGGTTTGAAAACCGTTATTAAAAAAATTTAGTCTTGATTTAAGTACTGTGAAGATGACTAGAGACACTTGATCGATAACTCATTTGAAACGTTGTGGAAGTAACTAATGAAGACAGAGGAATATGTAGTTTCATCAATATTTATCATTGTCCAGGATCTTCAAACAATTATAATTCTCAATGTGCGTCAAATAATTATGATAAACCAATTTCATATTAGGGCTAAACAATACCTACGATACTTGATTCCGTTGTTCTCCTGGTGGTTAAATATTTCTTTGATCGTTCCCATGGAATACAGCATCGACTTTTTTTGGAAAGGACAGAAGACGCGCGAAAAACGCGCCTGTAATTTTTTATTCTCGCATGGATTATCACGACGCTGCTGGAAATGCAAAAACGATGAAAGGATCGCGCGCGTCTCTGCCAACCGAAAGGCCCGTGCCTCTTTTGCCGGAGTTTTGTGTTAGCAGACATTCTAAAAGGGACATCGTCGGGCCCTGAAAGCTTTTGTAAAGTGTATTAATAACGCCGCGAAACGGACTTTTATCTCGTTAAAAATTGTACGATTCGCTACAATGTTCGCGGAACCGTGTACGCTTTAAACTTTCGCGGGCATAACGGGGCCTCCGTGTGTACGCCAAAGGGATTCGTTTAACGCGGGGGGATGGCGGGGTCATCTCGTCAACGTTGCAACTGGGTTTAATGCGGAAAATAAGCATCCGGTCCTTCCGGTTTCCTATTCGATTGTTATTATTCACTAAATTTCATTTCTGATGGTAGAGTTGGTTACCTTTGAACCTTTGACCTATGTTTTATTTTATCCTATTTAAATTGTAATCTGGAAAGCTTGTGTTTTGTAAAACGCGAAACATCATTAAATGCAAAACATGTTATTTTTCTTCTTATAAAATTAAATCGCGTTGCGCGCAATTGTGAGGCTACAATGAAAAAATCCGTAATTGTTTATCTTGAACTTTTTTATTTCCTTTGAACAAAATTTGTTTGAAAAAAATAATTTTCGCTTGCATGAAATAACCGTCTGTATTTGAATATTTTCAATCATTTGTTCATTTACGGCAAAAAAATTTATATTTAAACCAGGCTTTGCTTAGTTCATTATATCAAGCAATCGCTTCTTTGATTTAAATACATCTATAGAGCAAGGACCCCCACCAACGCGATTTCCTTAACAAAGAGCAACACCTGTGTCTTATAGCAGTGTGGTGACCGCGGAGTCCTAAATTTTTTTGGTATTTTAGGGTAAGTAGTTACAAAATTTATAACTTATGTTTGGTAGGTAGCATCCATTCAGCTTTTTCACCTAAATAGGTTACCAGATACCTATCTGTATGTACTATTCAAATAAAAATTTATTTGATTTAAATTAACAGTATTTCGTTCAAATAAACATTCAGTGACAATAAAAAAAGTAGATTGTCAGACCAAACTATTGTTTGTTCAGATTAAACTTGTCAGGAATTAAAAATACTGATAAGTTATTTAAACTAAATAAACATTCACTTGGCTGAGCTGCTAGTATGTACATAATTTTAAATCAACTCACATAACATTATAATTGATACTTAATTTTCTTAAATTAAAGTATTCGTATTTCTTTCAAAAATGATAATCATATATTTAATAAATATACTTCTAGTGGCCCGACACCATCATTGACATAATATGGTATAAACATTTTTTTTACATTTTAAAAACAATTTAAAAGTTCAAATTTGTATCTATTTTGCCATTTTGTTAGTTTTATCTCCCTATTAATGAGTGTTTTAACTAAACCAACAATATTTCAGTTTTTAACTCTGCTCAGTTTAAGTTTAAATAAATAAATAAAAATAAAATTAGTAAAGTAAAGAAAACAATGTTGACATTATTACCAATATAGTTATTTATTCCAAAATAATTTGCACAGTCCTGAGAACTACCACAAATGAATCGAGTATTGGCCATTAAGAAACGCCCTGCATATAAACTAGGTCAAAACTTTAAGATACAAGTGTTGGAGAAGTCCTGATTTCAGTTCTTTTTCTAAATTTGCTACGGTTACTCTATTAGGTGGACTGAAACTTAGTATTAGATCCATATACGTAATTTCATCACTCTGACAAGAAAAATTAAATTTGCACCTTTTCTCCTTAATTACTAGCACCTACGACTTCAATCACGATTGTAAATACCTATTCTTTAATAAAGATATTTTTCTTTTTAAACGAAACAAACTTTCCCTGGGCACTCGCTCATATTAAACTTTTTTATTCAGTAAAAAATTACGTACGTTTCGCCCAAATACCCCAGAAGACGATGGACAAAGGCTACATTCTGATTTGTCGAAACACATAAGGACATTGATTTCATTGAGTGCATGTGGTCAAAAACCTTTAAAAAATATATTTTTTCATTTTTTTTAAATTCTAGATTATTAAAAAAATATGGTCAATCTTATCCATCAGACATTTTGATAAAAATACCTAAGTTTGTTCACAACCTGGTTCTGTTAACCTTTAAACGTGCATGGCCAGTGGTACGGTTTTACCTAAGCCCAGTATTATTATGTTCGTAATAACCACCAATCAGTGTTTTTAATTGCACAATATTTTATTGACTGATTGGGAAAACAAATTGGAAAATGAATCTTATTTATGACGTTCCGAAGTCCGATATTTCAGGGATATCCCTATATAGATCGTATATAAATAAATTATCTAAACGGTTCCACAATAGTAATTTTCCTCATTAACAAGAAAACCCGTATTGATGATGAACTCGCAGAAACGAATCAATTAAAATCTAACAATTCCCTCTTATCATTATTTTCAAGCTGAGATCGTATTGTCAGTGCTGGATATCGCGGCTGTTCAACATTAAAATTCGTTAAACATTACCAATAAAATAATTACTATACAGTTTGTAAGAAATGTCTTTTTTTAACGTAGCAACGGTACATCGAATATACAGTTATGCCAATGTAGGGGAAGTTGTTAACCTCGAATTTACGTGTCTTTTGCTTATTTTTTAGATAACAGTAACTTTTTGTAAGTTGAAAAAATGCCGTGGTACTACGAAGTTCGCAATGAACTTGGGGGTTTGAAGTGTCATTTTGTATGTATGCAAACAAATTGAAGTGATTCATAGGCAGGTGTACTTTTTCCCTGTATTTGCTGCTGTATTTGTGCTTAATATTATCTATTGTGGATTTCCAGAGAACCCTTAATTCCATCGGATCTGGTTTGGCGTTATCTCTGTCAAGTGTGTCAAATCCGTTTAATTTAACTGTTTATAATGTATTTATGAAATTTTTAATATTGTTACATTATAATCTCACAGGCCTGTGGTACATTGCCCCACGCTGGAATTATTTTCTTCCACTTTACGTGGTTACCATAGCAACCATTCATTGCCCCTTGCCTCTTGCCTAAGTGCCTAATTTGCATTACAATAATAGTAATTTCATTAATGACTTATGCAGTCTCTTAGTTGGACGCCTGTGGTTCTAAGTATACGGTTACACCAAAATAAAGAAAAAAAAATTGTGGTCCTTTTGAACTTTTCTCTCTTCCAACCGAATCTGTCTCTCCGGCCCCGTTTCCGATATTCCCGATCGCTTATTTATGGCCACGGTGTATCAAGCTGCCATTATACAGGACGACAAAGCGGTTTATTGTCGTCGCCGACGCGGCAGCAAACCGGGAGCGCGAAAAACAGAAACAATTAAGGATAATAGGCGCCCGGGACGGCGTCGCCGTTACGTAAGAAAGCCTATTATCCTCGGAACGTCTTGTGGGTGTAGCCGCGAATCCGCCACGCCTTTGCACAACAATTCCCCACACAGTTCGCGAACTCTCTCTCTTCTCTCGTCCACCTCTCCCCCTTCCCCTAGGGGGGGACTCATCCTCGACGCGCTACGAGACCGAACAATTCGCGAAGTGGGCGGTCTGCACACGTGGTATCCGAAGGAGGGCCCTAGGCGGTCCTCATCGCGTCGTTGGTGGGGAGCGATACCGTCTCCGACGACGCTACCAGACGCATCCAGGCACGCAGTGCACACGCACACGAATCGGTCTTCGCACTATCCGCAAACGTAAACGCATTTGATCCATGTTACCGCGTCCGACGTCACAATAATAGGCAACCCCCCACCCTCGCGCCCGCGGCGAGGACGTTCAGGTGTGTGCGTCGTGTGAGATACAGGTGCAAAATAAACAGGATCGTTCGCGAGTAGTAGTGTACGACGGGCCAATAGTGGTCCGGGTAAACAATAGGTGTGAGGGGGTTGCGCATAGGGGCCAGCTCGAGGGTGCGCGGCGGGTGTAGCTTCCCATTCTCGCGTTCTCCGCGGATATAGAGAGGATCTCTCTTGTTTTGTTGCAGTGCCGGGCAGTTGAGTTAACGCGGGACACGGTGGCTGCCGCACATCTCCAAGAGGTTCGCTCGACGGCGAATCTGCAGTCATGTGTTGATCTGCCGCCCTTGCTCACGCAGCTGAGGTGAGTGCGAGCGATCTTCCCCCCGAGTTTAGTTTTTCTGTTTTTGAGTCACAGAGCCCGAAATTGTGGGTCCGTCCTTTGACCCGACAAGAGTTCGATCAGAAAATTGCAATACTGGGAAGAACGACCCTGTAAACTGTGATGAACGCGAGGGGTAAACCGCAAAGGAATTGTGGTATACGATATGAAGCAACTCCAATGGAATTCCCTGGAATTCCAGGAAACACTCTTTTTCATATTCATGATTCCCATAAAAAAACCATAATGCAGGTTCGGAAAACTTTTTTTTTCCGAATTTTATTTTGTTTTCAGCAAAAAACATTGTCAAACGCACACAGCGCTTTTTGAACGTCGAGTATCGAGTAGGTACCTAATAGATAAGGCTCGTTGTTTTAGTCTTCCAACAAAATTGTTTCCTATTTAGTTCTAACAATACCCGCAAAAACAACAATTTTCAAAAATTTGATTGTGCGAATGATGTAATGGAAGTTATACTATAAAACCATATCTGCATAAATAAAACTAGCAGTAGGAGAATTGGCAAAACAACAAAATTTCTGTAGACAGTTACAACATTGACATGATCGCAGCAAAATAAAACAAATTAGATTTGTTCGGTTAGTTTTTACATGCAGTTTCTTGTCATGAGTCTGTAGCCTAGAATGTACTAAACCTAGGCTAAATACTAATGAACTGAAATAATCTCTAAATATGACAAAGCTACACACACAATAAAAGACTGTGAGGTTTTGGCTACGTTTTCATTTTTGTTCTCGGAGAATTTGATTTTTTTTACTATTTATGAATCAAGTTTCTGTGTTCTGGAAGAATGATGCTCATTTTCATCCCTGGTATTCCATATTCTCCACTAATAATATCACTCCGAAAATTTTCAATGTTGATTTTGAAAATATGGGTGAAAATATATATTCTTACATCGATTTTCGCATTTCAGTAGAGCTTTTCAATGATTTAGCACAAAAAAAAAACAACATAGCAAATTACGTACAGTGTGGGAATTTTTGGGAGTCAGTATTCAGTTAGTATATCTTAAAAAATGGACCCACTGACTTAAGTAATTTCATATATTACGTTAATGTTTTGAAGATCAGTTTTCTTATATTCTATTCTTCTCTCTCTCTCTGTCCAGGGTGGAAATTTTGTTTTTGAAATATAACTGTTGTGAACTTTTCTTCAAATACTTTATTTGCGTGATCATTTGCTGGTCCTTGTGGACTTTTTTTTGGGGATCCACTCCCGCCTTTCGTTTCTGAAATAATTGAATTTAATTTAAAAATTCTTAGTTTTCGTAGAATGAAATAGGTATGAGTAGAATACTATTTTCCTATACACCTCCGACTTTGTAGGTGATTACGCGGAATAGCACTTGGTGCTTAAGGCGCGTGAAAAGGTTGCAACATTGTCTTTTTGGCGGACCTTAAACCACCGCAATCGATTACTATACCGGTTATTAATAGAGTTAAGAGAGTATTCGTGTTTAGAAATAAACAAAATAAATTGAACCTCCGCATACGACAAAGTGCCGCTATTGCTATAAGCTGATTTTTAATGCTAAGTGATTGTGGTATAGTTTGTTTTTTATTTTTTTTTTGTTAGAATTTAAATTTATTGGTAAATTTAAATAAAAACTGAAATAAAAAAACTGTTGAAATATTGTTCATAGGTGAGAAGAGATAACACGTATCAATATAAACAAAGTTTGTGTTTAATCCCATCAGCACCATCGATTTACCATTTTTGGTGACGTATTCTACGTTACTGACTTTGAAATTTCCAATTCGTTCAAATTTTATCTGCCATTTTGATGAACGTTTAGTTGTTTAAAACATTTCATAATACCCTCGGACGTGTTTGCGAGACAAAATCACGTTTTAGACTTTTTTTTTTACTTTTATTGTGATACATCCATAACTTGAAATTATTTTATATAGCATCGAATAATTAATGAATCTATATCGACTTCCTCAAAATCGTACAATGACAAAATGTTTCTGTTAATGATAGTTTATGGTTGCTATGGTTGGTTGCTCTTTGAAAGTAATGGTAAAGTTCATCAGTCATAGCATGATTTTTTCAATGTTGTACGTCAGTTTTGAAAAGTTGTAGCAATGTAGCTAAAGCATATAGCGTCACTGTACGTGACGTAACTGGAGTATATTATTTGTTAACGTTTTTCATACTCTTTTTTTTTAAGAACATTAGTTTTTTGTTTAATTTTTGCAAAACAGGACAAAGTGTAACGTGACAAATGTCAAAATACCCTCAGTGACTAATGCCCGAAACCCTTGCATTGGCTCGCGACTGTATTTAATAAAGCTGACACCTGATCAGTGAATAATCGGGTATTTTAGAGTAGGAAGGAAAAAAACGTTTGAAATGCAATCGATAACAAATTGACTGCATTAGGTTATCGTTTTCCCTACTCTACGCTAACCGACTCAAAATTGTGACACCATAAAAATGATAAAATAATATATTTTCCGTCGTTCGCGTCTATCGCGTCAAAAAGCAATGCCGGGAATTCAAACAATAAAACGGAGGGCACCCATATAAAACGACACGAAATCTAACTCCGTATCACACAAATAACTTTAATTAAGACGTGTAATTTATAAATGCGCTCTTTTTCTGAAACAAAAATAAATTTAAAACGATACTGTTCTCCGCTCTGCTCGCGAGAGATAAAATTTATGATACCGCTGGCGTCGTCGTCGCGCAGATGGAACACGCGGTATATAACTTTGAAATAATTACACAATTAACAGGTTGTTTTGTGGGGAGACGCGCGGGTCGCCCTTCTCTCCGTCCCTCTCTCTCGCACTCGCTCACTCTTCCACGGGGACAATTGTTATGGTAATCGGAGGAAACCGGTTCGAAATTTTGAAAAGGTTGTTCACTTTTACGTGTATATAAAATAGCGATGCGATGGGAAATAATCGGCGGCTGTCCCGTAATCGTATGCAAACGTGTGTATCTTTTTTTTTAGTTCTCTTGCGTAATCTGTATTACCATATTTTATTATTATTTTAAAAGGTTTAATCGGGACTTAATGAAATAGCGTAAAAAAATCCGATATGCCCGGGATCGCGTTTGATATATGTTCGTAATATCGAGTGAAATCTGAACCTGTCACTGTTCCGTGTGGACTTCGGCGAGGCAGCGGCCGTTCGTTAAGGAACAAAAATATAGAGCACATACGTCCAACTAAAAGAGACGGCAAATGAGGAGCGTTGCCGAAATATAAATGGTTGCTTATAGTAACCAAGTTTGGTGGGAGAAAATAATTCCCGAAACTGCAATGCATCATTGGCGTGTGAGATTATACTGTAATAGTAACATTTTCATAATTATATTATAAATAGTTAAACAAATTTGACAAACTTTTAGCGAAAATGCACACCACATCGGTTCCTTTTGAGTGTTCTTTGGCAATCTAAGCAAATACACCCGCCCATGTAAAACGTCCTTAATTTTTTAGATAAAAATAACATGAAATGAAGCGACACTTCGGAATTCAATCCACCAAGTTCTTTGCAAACTTCACAGTATTGCGGCCTGTTTTGCGATGAGTCTTTGTAACAGCAAAAACAGACAGACGCACGCAAGATAGACGTTAAGACCCTACATGGCCCAACCAAAGCCGTACTTTTAAAAAAAGAATTAAAAAAAGACATTTTGTTAACGTATAGTGAAGGATCTAATTTTAATACATAAATGTATTATTCTATGTATAGCGCAATGGTGAAAAAAAACTCTGGCAATGCCCGACACTGGCAACGTTGTGCCAGCCCGTCAAGATATTTGCATCACTTTTTCAAAGAAACTTCCACAGGCTACTGTAATACTATTTGTGAAACTTTTGGATTCCTCCTGCTCCAAAGAAGCCAACAGGAAGATTGGCGAAAGGTTAGCAAGTTTGACTCAACAATAACCGACGCAGGAGACACCCAAAAGTTTCGTAAATAGTATATTTGCATCACGTTAAAATGAAGACAATCACATCTCCCTTGATTATAAATCTATGATTTATAGCGATCTATAGAAAGAGACGTAAACAGTGCCTTTAGTGTTGTGTTCGTCAATTGATCACTTCTTAATTGACCGGTCAAACGTTTTAAATACAATCTTGCAATTGTAGAGTGTTATCCACCATCATTTAATAATAATGTGTATTTTATAATAAATGCGTCCAATTTACCTATTACACTCTTCAAGGAATATCTGAATACGATACGTAGCGATTCGGAGAATCCCAATAATAATATCGACTCCATTTGGTTCCCAGAACGACGCGACGGCGAATATCATGGTATTTTTATAATTATTTCGGCCAATTGACACAAAAAAAATTGACAAGTCATTTCCACAACCCTAAGTGTCTGCCCGTAACTTAATTGAGATCCGATATATTATATACAATTCATTAAACTTTAAATTTAAGTTGGTATCCACGACAGCCATCACACAATTCAGAAACTCTTTTAAATAGAACCATGCTACATCATAGAAAAACCATACTGCTAGTTCTAGTGCAGGACCAGTGTATAGGAAGATGAAAATTTAAAACTATATATAAATAGTTACAATTTACAAGGTTACAACGAAAATGCGAATGATCCAATTAATGAAGAGCAAGATTTGAAGTTTCGTTCCAGATAAAATATAAACTTACAGATATATAAGGTATACGCAGTAAAAGCCTAAATTGGTAAGAAACCCACTTAAATGAGGTGAAAATTTCTTCAAAAAATGTACCAAAACCCTGCGCCATTCCCCCATCTCTCCAAACGTAGGCATTAAGTCTATTGTGTATTGTATTGAGTGTGGTTATCCAAAATGCACAAGAATTGGAAGAAAGGAAGATGGAAGTTGAAAAATTATAAAAATAAAACGATAACGATAACTCATTACCTTCGAAAAGAATTTTTTCTACTATTAGTCCGAATGAAAGTGAATATGTATAGGAAAATCGCCGATCC